AGTAAAGCACTACTGAAGAAGAATAAAGTAGGAGGCTTCACACTACCTGACCTCAAAACCTACTACACACCTATGGTAGTCAAAACAGCCTAGTGCTGGTACAATGACAGACACATTGACCAATGGAACAGAATCCAGAACTGAGATGTGAATACATCCAGCTACGGTCACCTGATCTTTGACAAAGGCCCAAAGTCCATTAAATGGGGAAAAGACAGTCTTTTCAACAAATGGTTCTGGCGAAACTGGATTTCCATCCGTAAAAAAAAATGAGACAGGACCCATAACTCACACCATACACAAAAACTAACTTAAAATGGATCAAAGACCTAAATATAAACAACAAACTATAAAGATCATAGAAGAAAAAATAGAGTCAACACTAGAGACCCTAACACACAGCATAAATAGGATACAAACCATAACTAACAACACACAAACACCAGAAGATAAGCTAGATAACTGGGATCTTCTAAAAATTAAACACTTGATGATCAAAAGACTTCAGCAGAAGAGAACCTACAGATTGGGAAAAAAATTTTGGACATTACAAGTCGTACAAAGTCTAATCTCTAAAATCTACAAGAAAATCCAACACCTCTACAACAAAAAGACAAATAACCCAATTAAAAAATGGGTAAAGGATATGAACAGACACTTCACCAAAGAAGACATTCAGGGGGCTAACAGACACATGAGGAAATGCTCGCAATCACTAGCCATTGGAGAAATGCAAATAAAAACTACAATGAGATACCATCTCACCCCTACATTACTGGCATGAATCAAAAGAGCAGAAAATAACAAATGTTGGAGAGGCTGCAGGAGACTGAAACTCTTATGCACTGCTGATGGGAATGCAAAATGGTACAATCATTTTGGAAAACAATATGGTGCTTCCTTAAAAATCTAGAAATAGAAATACCATACAATCCAGCAATCCCACGCCTAGGAATATATCCTAGAGAAATAAGAGTCGTCACACGGATAGACATATGCACACCCATGTTCATTGCAGCATTATTCACAATAGCAAAAAGTGCCCATCAACAGATGAATGGATAAACAAATTATGGTAAATACACACAATGGAATGCTATGCAATGATAAAGAACAATGATGAATCTGTGAAACATCTCACAACATGGATGAATCTGGAGGGCTTTGTGCTGAGTGAAATAAGTCAATCATAAAAGGACAAATACTGTATGAGACTACTATTATAAAAACTCATGAAAACGTTCACCCATAGAAAGAAACAATCTTTGATGGTTACGGGGAGGGGAGGGGTAGGGAAGGAAAAACACTAACTAGACAATAGATAAGTTGTAACTTTGGTGAAGGGTAAGACAGTACACAACACTGCGGAAGTCAGCACAACTTGACCAAGGCAAAGTCATGGAAGCTTCATAGACACATCCAGAGTCCCTGAGGGGCCAAATTACTGGGCTGAGGGCTGGGGACCATGGTCTCAGGGGACATCTAGATCAATTGACATAACATAGTTTATAAAGAAAATGTTCTACATCCTACTTTGGTGGGTAGCGTCTGGGGTCTTAAAAGTTGTGCATGGCCATCTAAGATACTACACTGGTCCCAGCTCATCTGAAGCAAGGGAGAATGAAGAAAACCAAAGACACAACGGAAAGATTAGTCCAAAGGACTAATGGACCACAACTACCACAGCCTCCACCAGACTGAGTGCAGCACAACTAGATGGTGCCCCGCTACCACCACCAACTGCTCTGACAGGGATCACAATAGAGGGTCCCAGACAGAGTGGGAGAAATATGTAGAACAAAATTCTAACTCACAAAAAAAGACCAGACTTACTGGTCTGACAGAGACTGCAAAAACCCGGAGAGTATGGCCCCTAATCACCCTTTTAACTCAGTACTGAAGTCACTGTTGAGGTTCACCCTTTAGCCAAAGATTAGACAGGCCCATAAAACAAACGATAATACACGTAGCTCAACCATGAATACGAGACTAAATGGGCACACCAGCCCAGGCGCAAGGACGAAGGCAGGAGGGGACAGGAGAGCTGGATGAATGCAAATGGGGAACCCAAGGTTGAGAAGGGAAGAGTGTTGACACGTCATGGGGTTGGCAACCAATGTCACAAAACAATATGTGTATTAATTGTTTAATGAGAAACTAATTTGCTCTATCAACTTTCATCTAAAGCACAATTTAGAAAAGAAAAAAAGTTTTTGTACATCTTATTGTTAGTAATATGTACTACATACAATGTTACAGTGCATAATTTGCTGATGTTATCAGTCTCAGATGTTCACTGGCAGATATTCAAAGATTGTATTTATAAAGATACTGATAATAAAAGGCAATCATAATGAAAACTAAAAAAAAGAAAGTACTCGACTTATGTCAGAACCGTCAGAATGAAACCCTGTCGTAAGTTGGGGACTATGTAATATATACATATACATACATACACACATCCATACATATTTTAATATCTTTTAAATTAAAATATGTCTTACAGTGAGTTGCATGTCTTGACTTAATTGGTAGCATTTCTTTTTTTAAAAAAATTTTTTTCTTGTCAACTTTATTGAGGAATAATTACGTAAAATGAATTTCATACATTTAAAGTATGCAATTTAGTTTTCACAATTGTATATACCTGTGAAACTACCAGTTCAATCAAGACACAGAAAATTTCCATCACCCAAAAAGATTTTTAGTACCCCTTTATAGTCCATCCTCCCTCCATGCCTGGCTCCAGTCAATCACCAATCTGCTTTTTGTTATTATAGATTAGTTTGGCTTTATATAACTGGAATCATGCAGTATGTAGTCTTTTGTCTTTGGCTTCTTCCACTCAGCATAATGATTCTGAGATTTACCCATGTTGAAGCCTGTACGAGTAGTTCCTTCCTTTTGATTGCTGAGTAGTATTCCATTTTATAGATGTATCACAACTTGTTTATCGATTCACCTGTCGATGGACATTTGTGTTCCTTCCAGTATGGGACTATTGTGAAAAAAACTGCTATGAACATTCATGTTCAAGTCTTCGTGTGAACATATGTTTTAATTTTTCTTGGTTAATACCTAGGAATGGAGTGGCTAGGTCATACGATAGAAGTTTAAGAAATATTTTGTTTTATTTTGTGAGAACTTACATACTCAATTACTTCTGTATATATGATCTCATATAACCAAACCCAAACCCATTGCCTTCAAGTCAATTCCGACTCATAGTGACCCTATAGGACAGAGTAGAACTGCCCTGTAGGGCTTCCAAGGGGCAGCTAGTGGATCTGAACTGCCAACCATTTGGTTAGCAGCCGAGCTCTTAACCACTGCACCACCAGGGCTCCATGACCTCATAAAGAATACTAAATCCACCAGTTTCTCTTGGTGGAAGACAGAGAGAAATCCTTATCCTCTCCCTCCTTGGCCCACCTGCTTCCATATTTCATTGCTCATCCAATTCCTTGGACTCCTAAAATAATTTTAATGTCTTTCTCTCTTCTCCAGTCCTACTGCTAACATCTCATGTTTGCCTGCGGTGTCTATTTTGTACCCGGTACTGTGCTGGGCACTGAAAGAGTGTACACATGACTTTGAGCTAAAGTGGCAGCAAAATAGGGACCCATCCTGTTTCCTGGACTGTGCTGGGTGGTGGGGCACAGCCATGGATTACGCCACAGGCAAAGTATGTGAGAACTCTTGCGGTCACATTCCATTTAGTTGACTCAGATGCTAAAGGAAATATCCCACCTTTCTTTGAGTGCGGGCTTTAGTTACTTATGTTTTCTAAGCAGGCGTGGCTGTTAAATGAAGAGGAAGTATTGCATGAAATGCTAAAAAGGTGGCAGGGAGAGAAAACTTTCTTCCTTTAATACCAAGTACCTTTATCCTCTTGACCAGTGGTTCTCAAAGGGTGGTACTGGGACTAGTAGCATCAGCATCGTGTGTTGGAAATGCAAATTCTAGGGTCTCACTCCAGATATGCTGAATCTGAAATCTGGAGGCGGGATCTGTGTTTTAATAAGCATTCCATGTGATTCTGATCCACACTAAAGTTTGAGAACTACTGTGCTAAACTCATTCCAAGGGTGTAAATGGAAGTCATCTTTAGGCTTAGAGGAGGTACGTCCTGGGTAGCTGTGGGCAGTAGGGCTAACATTGAGGCCTGTCCACTTTTTCCCCTCTACCCTCCCAGCACTTTGTAGCATTTCTTAACAGTTCATAAAATGACATTGCATCTTAAAGTTGATGTGTTAGATTCAATGAAATATGTCAACTGGATGTGAAGAATAAGAAATAAGAAATTCAAAGGAAAGGTTTTAAGCTGGGCTTCAAACTCGTTCAGACCGCTTCAGTCATGTCTGACAAAGCTAAATTGGAATAGACCTGAATTTTTAAAAATTTGGGTGAAGCAGATTGATAACTGGGACAGGAAAAATTATAGGTGGAAGCCCTGGAATGGGAGACTTGGAAGAGGCATAGTGAGCCCCTTCAGGAGCCTGATGCGGGAGATTGGATTATTGCCAGGAATGTGGAGAGTGACACACATTCAAAGCTGCATGGTTGGCTGCCATCTTTGAGCAGGACACCACTGTTTCTGACTCTGCCAGTTAAAGGATTTGGTTGCTATGTAACATGCACACTGCCTTTGTTTTCTAAGAGGGAGATTAAGTTTCTCGCAGAACTTTGACCTGTAATTTTTCCTGTTCAGCTTCACCTACGTTCAAAAAGTTCAGATCTGTTTGGGTTTTGCTTCATTGGCCGTGACTAAACCAGGCAGAACCAGTTCAAAGCCCTGGTTTTAAGCCTGGGTGACTGGAAGAACTCTGTTATTCTTAACAAAAAAGAAGTTTCCCTTGACCCCTGTAGAGGAGTCCAATCAAATCTTCTATTTAAGCAATGGCCTGTAGACCTGGACAGAGGAAGGACTTATTAATAACAACTTTAATATGAACATGTGTTGTGTACTGGAAGTATTGTGTACTAGTTGACAGCCCAGGCGCAGACTGGCTGGGTTTCAGTCCTGACTCACCATTAATTATATGATTTGGAGCAAGATATCTAATCTCTTTGTGCTTCAGTTTCCCGACATGCAAAATGCTGTTAATAAAAGTACCTACCTCATAGGGTCATGGTAAAGATTAAACAGGGTAATGTATATAAGCCACTTAGCATAGTCCTTGGCACACAGCATGTACTCAATAAATGTTAGGTTATCATTAAGTCAGGAGGAGCTGGGTTTTGAATGAGTAGAGAAGGGAGTAAGTTTGAAGTTTGCACTAGCAGGACTCTGAAGTAAAAAGAGCATTTGTAGGCCTGAGGCTTAGGAAGCTGTTATGGGTAAAGACAGATTCTGATGTTCTGCATGTAATAGCATTTAGTGAAATCCTAAGACTTGAAAAATCAAATCATACAATGATGGTACTTTAAACTTTAAGAGACACTTCTTAACTATATATGAATTTATTCATGAACAAAATTAAAAGTATTGTTATTACATAGGGGAAAAACAACCTTGGGCTCTTCTTTCCTGTCCCATTATTTGTGCACCTGGTGGTCACGGCTGGATTTTAGGGTCATTTCAAGCTTTAAAGGATTGACAGGTCACCTCAATGCATGACCCACTGAGAGCGAGGGAGCTTCCATGACCCCTGTATAAAAGTCTAACAAAATTTTCCAGTTAAGCAATGACCTGTAGACCATATTGCTGCTCACCTACTTTCCCCACCTGAACAGAAAGAGGAAGTATTTATTAATGACAACTTTCATATGAACATGTGCTTGACCCTCAAGAAACTGTCATAACTTAAAGGGAAGAGCAAGTTGACATTCAAAGTACATGATGCTTAGGGGTGGATCGCTTGCTGTTCTGGGTCCAGCTGAGCAAAGCAACTGGTAACAGTAGTCATTTGAATAATCGTAACTTCTTCAAATACTGGTTCACTTCTTCCTTGGGGTAGGGCCGTAGTGCAATGCAAGTGGCGATGTTCTCTGGCTGCTCCAGCCACAGCACGTGGTCGATGTTCTTCTGCTGCAGGGTCTCAGCCAGCTCCTTTAGAGTGTTCTCATCTGAGGCCTATAGGGAGCAGAACACAGAAGACAGATCGACTAGTCCATTTAGGAAGTGTCAAAATGCCCAGATAAAAGGGGGCCTCCTCTTAACTGAAAGTGGAGTAACAGCTTTACCGAAAAAGCGGCTGTAGAGCACGTCTCCAGGAGCAACAGTTCCATTCCAGGTTCACCATTCACTTACTATAGGATCCTATGTAAGCTGCCTGGGGGCAGAGTGGAGTGAGGCTTAAGATTCCTGTTTGTAAAATGGAGATTTTTCTCTTCCTTCTTGAGTGTTCTATGAGTTGTCAGTAATTACTCTATCCATTTTACAGCTCTCTTATGGCCAGATGCCCACAACAGCTATCCCTAATCCTCCAGCCAGCTCTGACTATAAGAGCTGACTACTGGAAGGGTTTAAGAAATCACTTCAACCTCTGCCTCCCTACACCCCTCCACGCCCTCCCCACCCAAGCCTAGAAGTGTTTTCCTTCTGCTGGGATAGCTCTCACTTGTTTAGTCAAGGGAGGGCAAACTATTCTCACACATCCTTCTCCAGTCGTTTCTGGGTCATCCTTGCCACCCACGCTGAATCCCATTACAGGAAGTACTAACATTATCACTTAGAAAATAAAGATAATTAGTGTGTTATTTTGCATAATGTATATTTCTTGCCAGTGAAGCCACGGGGCACAAAGATAACTAGAAGCTTGTCTTATCAAATTAGAGAATGCTGCGATCGCCACTCTGAATCCATTACGTCCAGCAGTTACTTTCCGCCAAAGCCATATTAACTTCCCCTTCCGTCTTCTTTGGCACCAGGCAGCAGCATTGTACAACTGGTTAGACTGAAGTCTTCGGACGTGCCAGAGTGCAAACCCTTCCTCTACCAGTACCAGATGCCCTAGAGTCGATTCTGACTCATGATAACCCCATGTGTGTCAGAGTAGAACTGTGCTCCATAGGGTTTCCAATCGCTGATTTTTTCGTAAGTACATGGCCAGGCCTTTCTTCCCAGGCACTTCTAAGTGGCCTCCGGCCTCCAACCACCAACCTTGCCAAGTGAGCGTTACCATTTGCACACCCAGGGACTCTGCCAGAACCTTGTTATTTTTTAAAAGGCGTACCAATTTACACCCTGGTGTCTGGTATTTCTGATTCTTAGGTCAATCTAGGATTTTTAACATTTATTTTAAAACAATGTGGCATCATATCCAGGTAAATGCTTGACTTCACCGCGCACTGCTCCCATGGCAATAAGGCATCCTGAGTCCTTATTCCTTCTGGGTCGGTTTTGCGAGCGCGACATATTTCTTGGCAGGGCTTTAAAACGTCCGCCTTTGCACAGGCCAAAGGCATGGCCATACTCCACCAGTCTCTGCCCACACACACATCCACACGGACGCAGGAACCACCAGTGCACAGTGGGACCGGAGAGGTGCAGGTAAGTATTAAGAAAGGACCCGATGTCCGCTCTTCACACAGTCCGGCCCTTCCCAACCAAGAGAATGAGCAGTAAGCAGCTCAAACCTCGAAGCCTCTCCAAAACCTAACGCCACACCCACTCCACGAAGTTAGTCCCTTGGATGCAAGACCACACCCACTTCCGGTCTCGGCGGCCTCAGCGTTTCGCTCCCCCCCGCGGGGGTTTGTCTCACCTCGAGAACCACCTTGCGCATGCGCCCCAGCTCCTGGAGGTAAGCCGCCGTGTGTGGGTGATCGCGGTGAATATGCAAGGCCGCGGTGGCTGCGTGACAAGCCTGCGCTACCAAGGCGCCTGCTGGCCAGGAGAACGGAGCCCGCGATAGATCCTTTCGTAGCACCAAGTACTGCACCAGGAATTGCGGCTCTGCGCTAGAGGCTGCCATCTTCCTGACCAGCAGAAAGGCTGGGCTTACTCTCCGGTGCATTCTGGGATCGGGGAGGGCTCCTGAGCGCCGCCATGTTTTTGTACGGTGGGAGCGCGAAGGACGCTGGGACCTATTGGGCTAGTTTTGAAGACGAGGAAGGCGGGAACTCACATCTCTGGCTTGGCTGAGCAGGAGTAGACGTAAAGGGAAAGTAAGACCAGATGACGGACGAAACCGTGACCAGGGTGGAGGGCTGGGCAGAGGGGCCCTGCTCTCAGGAGTGCGCAGGCGGGTGGCGAAAGGGCTGGGCGGCTCGGGGAAGGGGAGTTCTAGCGTGGACATTTGGGGCATCCAGGGGGCCGACGGGTGTGTGCCCAGCCGTCTGAGTTTGTCTGAATGTGAATGGATGTGAGTTGTTACCTTTGTTCTTTTTTTGGCCAGCAAGGCAATCTAGGTTCTTATTCCCACTTGCCTGGGCAGCTTCATAGGAAGGCTCTCAGAAATCTGAGGAGATGGAGCCAGCGAATACTTTACGTCAAGACGGCGAGTCCAAAGGAGGTATTCAAAGGGCGCCCTGCTTCCCCCTTATAAGCTGCTGCCCAAAGACCCCCAGGCTGAGACAGCTCTTTCCTCCTGTAACTAATTTGTGACCTGTCCTGTGTGGGAGCAGAATGGCGAAAGGGAACTAACATTGAAGACATAAAAGACAGGCAAGCCAAGATCATTGGACAAGGAAAAATTACTTCAAATATTTCTAGGCCCCAGCCCCTTTTTAGGAGCCCTGGTGGCGCAGTGGTTAAGAGCTCGGCTGCTAACCAAAAGCTTGGCACTTCGAATCCACCAGCCGCTCCTTGGAAACCCTATGGGGCACTTCTTCTGTGTCCTATAGGGTTGCTATGAGTTGGAATCAACACCATGGCAACAGGTTTGGTTTTTTATAGGAGATGTTCAATAGTTCAATAAGTATTTAATTCTTTACATGCTTTGCAAGTAAAGCATCTAGCACAAGTGTCTTAATATGTAGGAAATTCTCAATAAAGGTTTTATTAGTTGGTGAACTCAATGGAACTATGACCTTTATTTTTTTTAATTTTATTTTGTTATTGTACTGTAAGTGAAAGTTTACAATTCAAGTTGGTCTCTCATACAAAAATTTATACATACATTGTTGTGCGACCCTAATTGCTCTCCCTATACTGTGACAGCACATTCCTCCTTTCCACCCCTGATTTTCCATGTCCATTCAACTGGCTCCTGACCCTCTCTGCCTTCTCATCTCACCTCCAGACAGGAGCTGCCCATTTAGTCTCAGGTATCTACTTGAGCTAGGAAGCACACTCTTCACGAGTATTGTTTTATGTGCCATAGTCCAGTCTAATCTTTGAAGAGTTGGCCTCAGGAATGGTTTTAGTGCTGGGTTGACAGAGAGTCTGGGGGCCATGTTCTCTGGGGTTCCTCCAGTTTCAGACCATTAGGTCTGGTCTTTGCACTAGAATTTGAGTTCTGCACCCAACTTTTCTCCTGTTCCAACAGGGACTCTCTGTTGTGTTCCCCGTCAGGGCAATCATTGGTGGTAGCCAGGCACCATCTAGTTCTTCTGGTCTCAGGATGTTGCAGTCTCCATTTTATGTGGCCCTTTCTGTCTCTTAGGCTAATGCTTTCCTTGTGACTTTGGTGTTCATTCTCCTTTACTCCAGGTAGGTTGGGACGAATTGATGCATCTTAGATGGCCGCTCGCTAGCTTTTAAGACCGCAGACACTACTCACCAAAGTAGGATGCAGAATATCTTCTTAAAAAACTTTGTTATGCCAGTTGACCTAGATGTCCCCTGAAAGCATGGTCCCAGACCTCCGCCCCTGCTACTCTGTCCCTCGAAGTGTTTGGTTGTATTCAGGATACTTCTTAGCTTTGGTTTAGTCCAGTTGTGCTGACTTCCCCTGTAGGGTGTGTAAAAGTACAGAATTTTCTTCTTTTTTTTTTTTGCTTTTTAACGCTTTATTTTTTTTATTGGACTTCAGGTGGAGGTTTACAGAACAAATAGTTTCTCATTGAACAGTAGTACACATATTGTTTTATGACATTGGTTAACAACCCCACGACATGTCAACCCTCTCCCTTCTCGACCTTTATTTTTTTTCTTGGTGAAAATATACATAGCCAAAGATACACCATTTCAAAAATTTCTACATGCACAGTTCAGTGACACTGACGACACTCTTCAGCTGAGCTGCTATTCTCACTTTATTATTATTATTTATTTATTTATTTTATTGTACTTCAGGTGAAGGCTTACAGAACAAATAGTTTCTCATGAAACTGCTATTCTCACTTTAGATGAAGGTTTACAGAACAAAATAGTTTCTTATTAAACACTTAGTACACATGTTGCCCTATGACAATGGTTAACAACCCCACTACATGTCAACACTGTCCCTACTCAACCTTGAGTTCCCTGTCACCAGCTTTCCTGTCCCCTTCTGCCTTCTAGTCCTTGTCCCTGGACTGCTGTGCCTCATTAGTCCCATTTTGTTTTATGGGGCTGTCCAATCCCTGGCTGAACGGTGAACCTCGGAAGTGACCTCACCACTGAGCTAAAAGGGTGTCTGGGGGCCATACTCTAGGGGTTTCTCCAGTCTCTTTCAGGCCAGTAAATCTGGTCTTTTTTTTTTTTTTTTTTTTTAATTGTACTTCAGGTGAAGGTTTACAGAACAAATAGTTTCTCATGAAACAGTAGTACACATGTTGTTTTATGACATTGGTTAACAACCCCACAACGTATCAACCCTCTAACTTCTGGTCTTTTTTTGGTGTGTTAGAATTTTGTTCTATATCCTTCTCCAGCTCTGTCCAGAACCCTTTGTTGTGATCCCGGTCAGAGCAGTCAGTGGTGGTAGCTGGGCACCATCTAGCTTTACTGGACTCAGTCTGGCCTTGGTAGTTATGGTCCATTAGTCCTTTGGACTAATCTTTTCCTTGTATCCCCTTCTCTTCATTCTCCCTTGCTCCCGAAGGGGTGAGACCAGTGGAGTATCTTAGATGGCTGCTCACAGGCTTTTAAGACCCCAGACGCTACTCGCCAAGGTAGAATGTAGAACATTGTCTTTATAAACTGTTATGCCAGTTGAGCTAGATGTTCCCCGAGACCATGGTCCCCACAGCCCTATGCCCAGCAATTCAGTCACTCAGGGAGAATTTTCTTAAGGGAGATTTCATCTATCTGGTAAAGGCATTGAATCATCCTTTTCCACACTAGAGATGTACTTTTGTGATAAACTGTAGACCTAGATAAAATACTACTGTCTAATCAGCATGTAGTAGACAGTTCAGAGTCTGTCTCATGCTCTCTTTGGATAGTATCTTGATCAGAGACAGTTTGTATATCCGTGTTCAGTCTGAAAAGCTGCTGATCATAGATTTCTATTGTCAGCTCCTCTGGTTTAATCATATATAAATTGTGGTGAATGTCTAACAATTTAGCTGGCCACAGAGTTCTTAAGAGGGTCACCCTCTGTCCCCTGAAATCCTTGGCTTTTTGTGAAATTTCCTTTCTACTTTCCTTAGGTATTTTAGCTCACTTGGAAAAACTAGAGACTCAAATGAACAGATCTCATAAGCGGTTTGAAGAGCCACAGAGAGCACAGGCAGAGGCAAGTACTCTTAGGACCAGGATTCATAAACTGAGACTTCTGCGAGATAAGCTGAGGGCTGAAGTGAAGCAGCGGCAAGCCAGGGTGAGTAAAAGGCTGATGCTGGCAGACTTCCCTAGGGTGTGAAGAACAAACGTGTGATGTGTTTTGCCTCTGGTCTTACTGGATGGATTTCAGTCCTTGATCCCTCAAATGATCAAACCTGTAGAGTTGCAGCTAATAGTAGTATCAGCTGACAATTGTCAGGCATTACTGATGGGCTAGATGAGTTCTTCATAATAGTTCCTTAACCTGCCCACATAGACATTTAAGCCTGTTCCTGCAGTCTCAGCCTGACGTGAGTCATTGGTCTTTTGTCGTTAGTGCTATCTTTCTGTCACCCAGACATGAAACCTCACGGTGAACTGTGACTGTTCTCTCTTTTCAGTCTTCTCTCTGGTCAGGTACAGTCAAGTTGTCCTTTAGATTACAGTTTTGCTTCCTCCCTAACTCCATTGTCATAGCTCAAGCATTATCCACATCTGCAGTCAGTATGTATCAGGTGATTGCACCCCAGGATTATTGCAGTAGACTGCTAGTTAGGACTCTGAATTGAAAGTCTAGGGGTAGGGGGCAGGCCTATCAGACCCGTCTTCTTGGCAGGCCCTGCGCTTCAGTTTTTATTTCCCACTATGCTGAGACTCCGGGGATCTCTGTTTAGCTTTTCATGGTTAGTCTCTTCTGCTTGGTTTCTCAGTACCTAGTACACATACGCAGTTCAGGAACTGGCAAATGTCAGGAGGGCAGATTGCATGTAGAATGTTGGGTTCCGTTTCTGTAGGACACTGGCCTGTAGAAAGGCTGCTCTGGTAACCCTGGTCTCCAATTTTTGTTTCCCTGAAACAGTGAGGCCGCTTCGAAGTCTAGCCTGCAGCTTTCTATTAGGCCATCTTCCTTATAAACCAATCACATGCCCTGAAGGGGAAAGCTGCAGGGAGGGTCCAGCTAACTTCAGAGCATTTATCTGGACTCTTCCATCCTAGGTGTTTTGGTCGCTCTCTAATGCCTTCCAGCCGTCTTCTGTTTGTTTGCTTGATCACTTGTGTATTTGTTTTTGGTGTTTTAGCCAGCTTGTACAGGTGCTCTCGGAGGGGGGGTTAGTCTGATACCATCTTCTGTGTCATGGCCAGAAGGGAAGTCTTAAAGTCAGTTTCTCCCATCCTGGCACTTGGCACTCTGCATTATCCGACCCAAACCAGCTGTCCTAGCCTTGTCTCTTCACAACCATCTGTTTCACCCAACCTGTGCTCATCCTACTACTCATACCCCATTCTTTCTCCTCTCACGATACTCCGCATTCCCACCAAAATCCTAATGGTTCTTCAGGCCAGCAGAATTTCTACCTGATTCCTTGCACTGTGACTCACACAATTCTTCCTCTGCTGTGACATCATAGCGCTGTCTTGCTGGCCACTTGGAGCATTTCTTGATGCAATTACATAACACAAAATACTCTGCATTTAGCTTTTGTCTAGTTGGGTGAGGGCAGGGACTTTGTGCTATATTCCCTTGCACCCAATTTGGTTTGCTGCCTGTCTTGCAGATTGAAGCATCTGCTGCCAGTGCAGAGCCTGACCAGACATTGGAGACAAGTGAGCAGGAAGTTTTAGAGACAAAGCGGGAAAACCTGAAAGCCATTCTACAGGCATACCGTTTTACAGGTTTCATTTTCTGACCTGATTCTGACTGCATCTCTCTCTAATCAGTTAGTCTGCTGGATGTATTATTTATCTTGGATTCATTTCATGAACATTATTTTGTCCCCTTTTACCCCAGCACACATTCACAAAGCTGGCATGCTATTTGTAGGCATATTTTTATATCCAAGATGGGCCTCCGTATGGCCGAAGATTGGTTGGTGGCTGGCTGAGACCATTGATTTAAGCGGTTCATCCTGGGCCAGAGCCTGTACTAGAACTTCCTCTACTGCTGGCTGGCTTTATGCCATTGGTCAAATAATTTAAACCCTTCAGTCTCTGTTTTACAATTAAAATGGGAGTTTATTCTCCCATCTGTGTCACAAGAGGATTGTGGGAAGAACTGGGGGCTATCATAGATGATTTGACACTCAGGGGAAAAAAAAAAAGGAATAGGTAGATTAAAAACTTCAGAATATCTTCCTCAATAATTTGGTGTTTAGGAGTCATTGTGTTTTTCTTTTCTACTGTTCTTCTGTGGTTTTGACAACTCAGGCTCATAAAGTGGGCCAGAGTCAAGGGGAAGAAAGAGCCTATGATATTCTTTCATTCAGCAAACATTTGAGCACATACTGCATATACCGGGGCAGCTGCTGGGGGTGCAGGGATGAATAAAATATGTCCGCCGCCTGTCATCTGTTGAGAGAAATCGTCTTGTTTGTCCCAGGGCTCAGTGGTAAACTGACCAGCCGAGGAGTCTGTGTCTGCATCCACACTGCTTTTGAGGGGAACCTCCTGGATTCCTATTTCGTGGACCTTGTCATACAGAAACCACTTTGGATACATCGCCATTCAGTTCCAGTCTTCATTCCTCTGGAAGAGATAGCAGCAAAATACTTACAGATTGATGTTCAGCACTTCCTGTTCAGTCTCTGCGAACACCTAAATGCTTATGCTGGGAGGAAGTACCAGGCAGATCGACTTGAGGTATCTGTCTGGAATCTTACATGACTCATCTTATGGGTCCAGGATAAGCTTAAAAGGAAAAAGGGACAACTTTTCTTTTGTATTTTAGATGTTTCATAACTCTGAGCCAGAAGTTTGATCATTGTTCTTCTAATGCTTATTTCTTTCCATCCTCTTTTCTTACTCTTTTGAAACTCTGGAATTAATGTTAAAGCACAGATACTGGTTAAGAGATTATTCACTCCCGAATATGGTTCTCCAGCTTATATCCTTGACCCTTCCCCTCACAAAGTACTGGAGTACAGTTGCTATCCTTTTTTTTTGAAATAAGATTTTGTTGTGTTTTTGGTGAAGGTTTACATAGCAGTTTAAGTTCCTATTCAACAACTTCTACACAAATTGTTCAGTGACATTAGTTACATTCCTCACAATGCATGAACATTCTCATTTCTGTTCTGGTTGTTCCATTTCCATTCCCTGCCCCCTTACATTCTCATCTTTGTTTTGAAGTAGTTGTTGACCCTTTGGTCTCATATAGGTAATTTTTTTAAAGGAGCACAGTACTTAATGGTGACATTTATTATTTTTTGAGCTAATTTGTTATTTAGCTACAAGGTGACCTCAGGTTAGTTTCTGTTCAAGATTTGAAGAGTATCTCAGGGCAGTAGTCTTTTGGAGTCCTCCAGTCTCAATCAGTCCAGTAGGTCTGGTTGTTTTTTTTAAAAGGAATTTGAGGTTCCATGTTTTTCTCCCATTCTATCATCCCATCTATTGCAGCCCTACAGTTGCTATACTTTTAATTCAACAAGGATTTTTTTGAATAATAAATAATGGTTTTTGAAATACCTCAGAGGAATACTGTCAGTCTTCTAAAGTATGGTCTACCTTCTTCCAGGTTGCAAACTAGAGCTAGGGTTGGTATGAAAACAGTAGATGGGAGATTAATGGCAATAGGGTATTAACAACCCTTTAGCTTAGCATTTCCCCACCCTATGCATTTGGAGTGACTTTGAAGCTCCCAATTTTTAGTTAGATTAAACTTGATACGTGAATGCAGACATGAAGGCTCTTAGCCATATATGCAGTGTTCATGAAATTCTTGGCAGAAATAACACTCCCCTCCTTGGCCATTTACTTAGTAATGGCTTCCTGAAACTGATTTCCTTACTTATGTTATAAATCTCCTTTTTTGAGGTCTTTCTCTGTCCCTCATTTATTGTCTGATGTTTAGTTAGCACGTAGACATCTTTGTCTGCCCTGTGTTTGGTAGACATGTTTTGAAGCATCACAGCCACCACTTCGGAGCTGTGATCACCATGTTCTCTGTTTGTTTTGAACTTGTCCCCCATTAGAGTGACTTTGCAGCCTTTCTGGCTGGGCCCTTGCAGAGAAACTCGCTGTGCAACTTGCTGTCATTTACTTATAAAAGGGAGCCTGGGGGCCAGTCCTTCCCGTTCTGTGCTAGACTGCTGTATAAGGACCTCACAGTAACGCTTCCAACGGATGTCACCGTTACATATCAAGGTAAGAGGAAGGATGTGTCAGTGAAGAAGTTACAGTATGCTCTAGTTTACTCAAGATAATTGAAACAGAGGGCAAAATAGGTAGAATACATCAAATGGACTTGAGACCCTTTCTTCTGATTATGTATAACTGTACTCAGTAAGATAGAGAGTATTTTCCTTGTTTCTACCGATTTTTTCTGTTTGTAAATAGTAAACATAATTATCCTAGTTTTCCCTCCTCCTCTGCCCCACCTGTCTCTTCCAGGGTTCTTTCAGCTTATGCTTTATTCTTCATTGGAGCCCCTTCTTGAAGAAAAAACTAATGAGGCTGACTCAGAGGGTCATTTCTGATGAGTGGAGCCAAATAGAGGGGACAAGTCAGTATACACTTAGCTCTCTAGAGAATAAGTAAATGGAAGTTTCCAGAGCTGGCTGAGAGGCATCTGTTATGAAGCTGTTTTGGTGAAATGTAGCACAGTAATGTGATATGGCAATAATGAAAAACTGGAAAACATGTTTTTAGGAGGAAGGCATTTTGAAGCTGCCACAGGTTGCACACCCTATGTTATAGCTTTCCCTGTCTCTAAGTCCCCATCTTAAAATTATATGGGCCTAGAATATCAATGATCCAGGTTCTTATTCCCCAGTTACACTGGATAAGATTGATATTTTTTCTTCTTTAGGGATGGATGCATTACCCACTTCATGGGAAGAACAGCGAGTCTCCCATGAAAATCTGTTTCGTACGACGTCACTACATAAAGTGTTCACTTCATTTGCCGGAGAAGGAGGAAAGTTGGATATGAGCCTGCTCCCCTAAAATGTTATTTTCATTGAGAACATGTCAGCAGTGAGTACAATATTTCCATAGTTCCAGGCAAAGTTCTAGGAACTGAAAACTCCTGAACAGATCAGACTCGTCAGGGACCGTCCTTGCAATGAGACAGACACCTACCTCTTCATTAGGATGATAAGCACCAGGTTTGAGTCCATGGACTTTGGGTGTTTTGGGCAATTCTCCACTTGATTGATCACTTATTATAACGCTCAAGATCACCTGTTCTTTTGAGGTCTTAATTGATTTGATCATACATTTTACCTGAAAATCAAAAAATGGTTTGTGGGGCACAACAGAGGGAATTTTGTGAAAGAGGGAAGACATATCTTTCAACTAAACAGTATTTCTGGCTTTTATGGAAGTTTTATGTAATTCTGCCTCATTTTCCTGAGACTTCTGAAAAGCAAGTTCTTAGATTACTCTGGGTTTGTGATATGAACGTATAGATAAGAAGGGAAGTGTGTTTAATCTTTGGTTTGGAGCAGTATATTGTAGGCTCTTGCTTTATAGAGAATATGATGTAAGAAAGTACTATGGATAAAACAGTATCTATTATTTTGTTTCCTAAAACATTTTAGTGGAGAGCTGAGTGTATTAAGTCAGCTATAAAAGAATAGGGTTGGAAATCTGCCTATAAACTCACTTACTGTTGCAAAGGAAGCAGACCCTCCTCCATCTCTTCCCTCATGCAGTCTTCTTCCCCATCTCCTTGGTAGTGGAGTGTACCAGTTTTCCCTATGACCATGGGCCTTGGATCTGCTGGCATTTTTTGTTCCTGGCTATGAGAGTATGTGTAGGGGCCAGTTCACAGATTTGAAAACTTGTTTCTGGCGGCTATTTCAAGTCCTGTCCCCTGTTGCACAGTCAAAATAGGAGCTATTATTACATTACTGCCTCAGGCCCAGAGCTACATTCAGGCCTCACTCTAACATGGTCACTTGGGAGACCTGATGATCATGAAGTGTAATGTGTAACCTTCACTTGAGGGAGCTCCAGCTAACGTTAGGAAGAGCACCGGGGAATGGTAAACCAGCTTGGATCATCATTTAGAAGAAGCAGCTTAAAACTAAGAGAGAGATGTTCTAGTTCAAGCTCTTGCCTTCCAGGCGTGTGGTGGTGACCAATGGCATGACTTAGAACTTCTCAGGTGAGAGGGAGTCACACAGTATTCACAATGATCACATTCAAGTTGAATAAAGCTTTTAATAAAACAGTCTTGTTTTTATCAATACCTGTAAATTCTCTCTTAAAGCAGTAGCAAAGGCGACTGTAGCAAGAGCTCAAAGGCAAGGCAATATTGGATAGTGTTTTTTAACAGAAAGTTAAAAATATAAATGTAGATCTGTGTATATATTTTTCTTTCAGAAATAAATCCCCCTTCCCCCCTCCCACTGGGTAAAAGGAAATATTGCACTTTCTGCTCTCATAACTAAGGTGACAGGTTCCAGAAGAACCTTTCAAGATTATCAGGAACATCAGGACTAGGGCCGTTTAACCTAACTCAGACCATATGGAGACAGTCAGGTCTCCAGCTTGAGCTCTTTCCAGAATGAAAGCACTGCTTTCAAGTTATAGCCAGGAGCAGAGCATCCGCCAGCCAGTTGTGCCGGCCGCTGGGCCCTCATCTTCAGCAGAGCTTCCTCACCTGTGCTCCCAGCCCAACGGCAAAGGCAGCTTTGTTCCACCTCTGATGCTTTCCTACTCACAGTGGCCGTGGCCTCTCTGGGGGGAAAGGTGCTGGTTGGAGCGGGCTCTGGGAGGATTGTTCCAGTACTATGCCTAGGACCCCTACTCTCTGGGAGAAGCTGCAGGCACACTGAGGGGCAGTCTGGCCGCCCTCGGAACTCACACATCCACAAACAAATGAAGGCTTGAGAAGATTTTTAAACCTAAAGTCTATGCGAGTGTTTACTTCAACAATTTGGGAACGTCGGGACTTGGTAATTTGTCCTTTCCCAAGGCTTTTCTCTGATTCCAAAAAATAAATCCTCCCTCCCCATTTGGACTGTTGTGGGCTAGAGGCTACTCAGGAGTTGTCCACCACCTGGTGGGGCAGTGTGACAGAGGAGCCATTAGGGAAGGCAGCTGGCTTATCACGCCCCTTCAGGAAAAAGGTCAGCAGCTCCCCCTTCCCCTTCACAAAGATAGGACCTCGCCTCACGAAGCGGAAGCCGTACTCTCGGAGAATGGCTTGTGTTTCTTCCACTACCTAGAGGGAGAACAGAGTGAGAGCATGGGGTTAGAGTGAGCCAAGACTCAAGGTGAAGACGGGGCCTTGGTGGCTGGGGCTCAGAATTGACCCAGGTGGAGCTAAAACTTCCATGACCCACAGATCCCAGTCTACACCGGGCCTCAGTGTTCTCCAAACTGCCCAAGGCGGAGAACAGTGAACCACAGGGCAATTTGCCTGGAGCCCTCCACTCTCCAGACAGTCTTCGTCCTCTGTCTCCTTGGGACAGCCAAAGGTTGCCTGTGTGGCAGCACTATTGTTTGGAACTTTTACTTCCTGCTCATCTGTCCCCCTGCCCATTCATGGAGCTTTTCTGCCAGTCCCAGGATTACTTCGGGGGAGCCGCTGGAGCCACAAGATGTCAGGAAGTTCATCCCAAGCCAGGATGTTCTTACCCAGAACGTAAAACTAAATTTTGCAAATGGAGTTGAAATATTTTCTCCCTTTACTGAGGCTAGCTATAGCGGCATCTCTTCCCACTCTTGTCTTAATCTCAGCACTGCTGACTTAGTATTCTGGGCCAACAAGAAGGAGGCAGCTCCAGTGGCAAACATGTACCAGCCCAGTTTTGTTCCCTTCCCCTGAATCAGCACATGCTCAGCTCTGCTGCCGGACATACCTGAATGTTGCCCATGACCCCTGTGGACTCCATCCTGCTGGCTACGTTGACTGTATTGCCCCAGATGTCATAGTGTGGTTTCCGGGCTCCAATGACGCCAGCCAGTACCCCGCCTTTGTTCATGCCTGGGGTAGAGGCAGAAAGTTCAGCACAGCCATGTGCCAGACCCTTCCATCACCGCTGTTTCAGAAGTTGCCAACTCCTCTTACACTGCTCATCACCTGACCCTACCACAAGCTTCTGATTCCATGCCATATTCCTCGTTATACTTGTCTTAGAACTAAACTCTAAGCTACCAGAGAGCAGAAATCATCTATTTATCCTGCCTTCGTAGGTGCTTGGCAAATGTCAGCTGTCCCCAACATGCTCATTAATTCACTCTGCAGCACAGTCATGAATTTCTCTCTAACGCAAACAGTACTTCAGGTCTTCTGTGATCTCACCCAGGAGTGGAACCCCACCCGCCCATCCCCCAGTTCGGGGTAGCAAGTGACATTAACTCCTGGCAGTCTTTCAAAGGACAGGCTGGACTGAGGTGAGCAAAGTCCCCTCAGCAGACACAGAAACCCTCTTGCAAAGGTAGCCAGGAACTGGGACTTCCCAACCAGATTCCGAAGGAAGGAAGGGCTACTACAGTAAGCAATATGGGGTATAGCTGATCACCATTTCATCAATCTGAATTTCAAGTCTGACCACTTAGAAGAAAAACGGGAGTAAATTGCAGCTCCTTCCACCTCTATGAGTGTGGACCACCCCAACTGAAATGCCTCCCGTCTTTCTAAACCTCTCTGCTCTGAGTCCCCTGCCTTGGAAGGGAGCACGTGGAGGGGCAGGCAAGCCTAGAGCCCTCACCTATGCGCAGCATGAAGTTGTTGAAGGACTGGTTGTTGATGTTTGTAAGCGTGTCCTTCATGGCCAGTGCAAAGTCAGCCAGATCGGCCAGGTGCTGCCAGCGCTCCTTCTCTGACTTTTCTTCCTGTGCCAGAGAGCAGCAGTGAACACATCAGAGGCTGGTCCAGGCCCATCACTGCCCAGCCTGCTCCCCTCCTTCCCGCTGGGAGGCGAGTTCCTACACCTGGTTGGTAAAGGCCTCATTCTCTACTTATTTCCACAAAGGGCCAGCAACCTCTTCTACTCCAACTTGTCACTGTGACAAATAAGTTTACCCAGTTGCCACTAATAGGTCTTGGACAAAGACTGGGTAATGCTGGTAGGGAATAAAAATCCTACCCAGCCAGCCCAGCTGCTTCCTGGTCTGTTGTGTCTTATTACCACCTTGTCTTTAAATTTTGTATGGTTGTCCTTGTTTTGATTCTTCAACTAGATTATAAGCAACTTGAGGGTGATCGCCCACCTTAGACATGTTTCTTTAATTTTATCCATAAAATAGAGAAGGTAGTGGTTCTTACATCATAGCACAGTTGTAAAGATAAAAGAAAATAATGACGTTTTAAGAATGTTTTCAAACAGATGTTTTACTTGGGACCTAGTAAGCCCAGTGGAGGCCCCCACAGCTCATTTCCTCTCTTCACACCTTAAGAGTTGGCTTAACAGGTCTGAGCTAGCTTAACATAAGAAATAGGCTGCCATCAGCCAGTGAGTTCTGAAGGCTCCCCTTGTCTAACAAAATCACTTCTCCATCCTGGAAGCTGTCACTGTTACATAACTGCATGATGACTCCCAGTTCTCAGTCCTCTACTGCAATGATGGCCGCAGTGCACACAAATCATCTGACGTCTGGCTGGAGCTGTGGAGTAGTGGTGGGGGGCTGTGCATTCTATGGGTGCTCTGCTCATAAAGCTGTCCTCAGTAAATCCTACTTCATATTTGCATTGCATGGTGCTAGTGTGTGTGTCTGTGGCCACTTTGTACACCAGTACTAATAACTTCTCATTTCCCGCCTGCTAGGTATGGGCTGCCCATCTCTTGCCTCAGGGGCAGAGCCTCATCTCCTCTAGCCACTGGGTATTTAGTTACCTTGTTGGAGCCAGTAAAACCGTTGGTATTGACATCTGGGGTGACTCCTGAAGCTGCCATGTAGGTACTGCCAATGGTTTTGATCTTGGTAATGATCCGGAATTTGGGATTGTCCAGGAGCTGAGGCCAGGATTATGGAAGAGAGAATTGTCAACACAGTCAAGGAAGATGCATGCGCCAATTAAATGACAGATTTCCTGTTTACCGGCACCCCACAAAACACTTGAGAGATGTTTTCCCAGTAGAGGTTTATTTATTCCGCCACTTATCTGCCATGTGACACTGAGCCTCTTTCCACAACCTTAACAGTGAGATAAAATGGTCAGTCTCCTAACGTGGTTGAGCATGTATGTAAAAGCATTTTTCCTGGTATACAAGTTACCCAATAAATGTTTACTGAATCTGAATTTGAGGGTAGGAAGAGTCAGAGGGGCCTCAGGATCTTGTCTTGGCCAATCCTTACCCTATGAACTTGTAGGTGATTCCCCAGGCTCCCACTTCACCCCTCAGATCCCAGCATTTCCAGATGGCTGCAGAAGTCCATACATTACCGGGAGGGACTTATCTGGAAAAATGTAGCCAGTCTAGAGTAGCTCTAATTTCCTTTAACTTCTGCAGCCTGTCCAGGGACGAACAATCTGGAAGAGGCTAGCTTTGTGGCAGAGGAGAATGGCAGGATGGGCACTCACAGAGTCAAAATCTGAGATGATCTCATTGAGGAAGCGCAGACACTCAATGCCACCGTTATTGATACTCTCCTCCGTGTAGAAGTCAGCAAAGTTGGGCAGGGAGGCAAACATGACTCCGATCTCATCGTAAGACTGGCTGTACAGCTCCTAAAAAGAGGTGAGTCAAGGTGCTCAACCAGTGTTTGGATGGATAATGTGTTCAAGAAATGAACCTCACTTCCTTGGAACGTGTGATATGTGCACTCAACTCTTTGGACACATGCATCTCCCAGATTACCCTAACTTGGCATAATGAGATACAGCTTATCACAACTCTGAATACTCAAAAAAAAGCTTCTCTCGTCCCTGTAACAGCCCTAGCCATGAGGAAGAGGGTACAGCAGAGCTGGGAAATGAGGCCTAAGAACTTCTGTGTTGAGAAGATCACAGTTGACAGAAAGGTGGGCTGTAGCCAAGGCCTTGTCTTCTGCAACATGGCCTCACAGAGACATGTGGACCATATGAACATGATGTCTTTAAGAACAGGCCTGTGAAATTCATTTTTGCTCATATTGTGATTGCTGGTTAGATCCAGCCTTGTCCTGACCCCATGTCCTGAGAAGGCCTGGTTCCAGAGAGGCTTATGGCGGTTAAGAGCAGATAGAGACAAACAGCCTCCTGGCTGCAGGCTCCAGCATGAGGGCCCACTCCTCACCTCATCTCTCTTCTTGGAACCCAGGAAATGGCGGGCCACGTGCTCAGGCAACATGTTGGTGACCAAGGCCTCGTTCCAGCGTCGCATCTCATAAACACGTTCCTTCTGGTCATGGACCTCAATCTTCCACAAGAACAGGGTCCGTGCCAGTTTTTCCACCTGCA